AGTTTTTTCATATAGAGAAAGTTAAGTGCTTTGCTATGCTGCTCATGTTCTAAAAAGTACTTTCAGTTGCCGTTGCACAGCATTTCTTACATGGAGATGAAATGATTTCAATCTTATAGCGCTGCAGACTATTGGTCGTGTCCTGCCCGTCGCTCAGTTGACTGAGACAAGCTGCTCATTAGCTCAACTGCGTTTTTATGCGAACGACACAAGCCTGTCTGACTCTTCGAAATTTCTTGAAGCTGTTCGAGGAAAAGATGTAACTTTGACAGACGTATGTTACTTTTGAGTACTTTATCGAACATTCAGAAGAACAAATCTAACATTCTGTTAAAAGCGTTATGCTAAAATCCCTTCGTGAAGTGTTTTGAGCAATAGTATTGCTATCCGTGGAATTTAATTTTTTGTTCAGGATGAATTGCTCACGATCGCACTGAGCTATGCTGAACTCTCCTATGAAGTCGCTGTGCGGCTGCTCGGATCAATCGCCAACGAGAAGACAAGGCTTGATGTAGTGAAGGTGCAGAGGTTCTTTTGTTTGACTGCGGCAATTTTTGCAAAAAAAAATTCTCTTTTTCTACCTGAACTTTTAGAGAGAACAAAAAATCAAAAGTTTGGATGTAAACATTTCTTAAACGTTCCCTTCAAACAAACAAAATTGGGACTTCCTAGTTCGCACTGCAGAATATGCATTGTGCTCTCTAAAATTTCTCCTCTTGATGATTGATGGTGATACCATTAATACTTTCTTCCAAGATTATGAGTTTTGTACAGTTCTGTTTATTTAATAGTTGTGGTTTGGAGCCTTATTGTAAATGTGTTCTTATAAACAAAAGATTTAGAAAAAGATAATGAAAAATATTATACTTCGCTGAAATTGTGTGAGCTCTCAGAACTGAAAACCGCTTAAAAGTGATGTGAATATTAGATTTCCGAATGGATATCTATTTTAGGATCTTGTAAATACTGTTCAAATATTTGGAAATGCGACCTTGTTGAGAGAGCAGCGATTAGAAGAGTCGTCATCCTTGTCCTTGCAACTGATTGAGTCTGATCTAACTGCTGGCGGGTGGTTTGAGGCTGTCTCGCATTGTTCCGCTAGTCACTGGAAGTGCAGGTGATATAACAATTTGATGTCGTTTTCAAGTCGAACTAGGTGCTTACAGATTGCTTTATCAACTCATCGCCATATGCCCTGTGCCCGAAGTTTTCGATGATCCAACGTCACCATTTAACACAAAGTGCTTTCTTCACTGCATTCGTTATGGAGCTCACTGCCAGAAGTTGGCATTTATTGAAAACGGTAATCCATCTTGCAAGTGCAGTGTCTGTTGGGCTAGTTGAGCATTATTTCATTCCAATTGCTTTTTTAAGGTGTCCCGTTTGGTCAAGAGACCATCTCATTTGACAGTCTGAACCTCAACATAAATCATTGCCACAT